CTTTGGCTGGAGCCAGTCCGGGATTCGTTCTTCGGATCGTGCGCGTGGTGACTGTTCCGCTTGCCACAACACCAGCCACTTGACATATTTAGAATATTGGATGTCCTGGAATCAACAATCCTTGGGCATGTGTACGGGAGGGCAGCTTACTTCACTTAAAGTTGGCACGATAAATCCCCCAAGACGAGTAGGATTAATACGCCTGGCAGGACGGAATTCCGCGACCCTGAGCAGGCGCTGCATAATGCCTTTTCCAAGGGAGGTGCCCTTATAAGGGCCCTATCAAGCCACAACATACCGACCCAAACGCCCGCCCGCCCACAAATGGACGACCGTTCCTGACGCTCTAATCGATTCATTTGCTAAGCAAATTATGAAGCGAAGGGATTGGTATGAAGCGGCCGTGATGCTGCATGGATATATGAGTACACATATGCAGCCGTACCTTCGGTAGCGGTTATTGGCAAGATGCCTACAGGAAACTCGTCCAAAATTGATTTCTAACACATTGAACGGAGGCTCTTTCTTCGCAGGATTTTGACCGTTTCACTCCGTTCTTTCGCCATTTCCCCACTATATAGCGCCCTACTAGCATTTTAGCCGAGCACCAAATCATCGTGCCAACTGCCTTTAATGGAGAGCGCAAAAGTCCTAGCACACGGCAGGATCTCTGTGTGATGCAACCTGATGATTAAGCTAGTCCTCGGCAAAGCCCTGAACTGCATTTCCGTCACCCCTCATCAGCTGCAGAGAAAGAGACGGACTCTGTGTCCTGTTCAATCTATTCTTTTTCCTTGTTCCCGTCAAGCTCCTACCGATTTCTATCCATGAGAGGTCATTTACGAATTAGAAAAAAGAACCCGAACTCCCTTGCGTTATCAGATTGAGACTAGATGAGTTTCTTGAGCCACTATAGGTGATGTGAGGATGATTCCAAGCGCGAAATTCCATTTTTTAGTGTCGATGCATATGCGGAACTGTCCGAGCGTCAAAGTTTGCATGTTCGCTCTATGGTGGATAATCAGCGGGAATTTGGTTGCCATGCTCTTTTTTAGTTGTCAAATCACTAGCCGAGAGTAATAGCTTCATGCTTGATCAGCCTTAGACTTAGAAAATACCAGTAAAGATGAGAAGTGCATGCTGAGCAATGCAGAAATCAGTGAGGCAAGAAGGAGACCCGTGAAATCGCACTCGGACTGAAGAACAGGCCTGCCTCTATGCACTGTTGTTATTCCGAAAGTTGTCCCTCTCGAATTTCAGGCATTAACGACAAACACATTACTCAGTGCCACTATTATTTTTACTCGCGTACTTCCATTTGCCGTGGATTTTTCCTTTGCATCTATTGCTATACCCTAGTTCGCTGCGGCTGAAGGGGCGTTTCAGGCAGCATGAGTGCGCCACGACGCCAAACCATTTCTCTGCTAGTTTTTAAAGCGAGTATGCTGCAGTTGATAGAAAACCGGATTCGATAACCGCTTCCGTCTCAACGGAGTCGAAGGCTTTCTTCAAGTCGATGAACGTGAGACATAACGGCATCTTGTACTCTCGCGATACTTCGATGAGCTTCGTTACCGCTGGAGGTGAACGATCGTGCTGCTTGCTCTCATGAGAGTCCTTCGCCAAGTGTGCTGTGCTGTCAGTCCTGTTCTGCATGACTCGTGTGAAGAGTTTGTAGACTACAGACAGCAGGCAGATTGGGCGATAATTGCCAATGTCGTACAGATCTCCCTTCTTGTACAGCAACACAGTCTTGCTGGTTTTCCACGAGGTGGGTACCTTGCATTCCGACAGGTAGCGCGTGAAGAGTCGAGCCAGAGTTTTGACGAGAACTGGCGGAAGATTCTTCAGATGTTCGGGTCTGATCCTGTCGGGACCGGGTGCCGTACGATTCTTCACCGACGAGATGGCGTGTCGGACTTCGGAAGGGAGAACTGCAGGAACGACGTATCCATCCTGCTCCAAGCGGTATGGTGGCAGGTGGACGTGGCTGTCAAAGAGATCCGAGTAGAAGTCGTGGATGACCTTCTCCATTGCCCTTCTGGATGCGGTGATTGTTCCATCCGGACGTCGGAGGGCGGTCATCTTGGTCTTACAGTTGGCGAGCGGCGACCGTCTCCAGCGTCTGCGGCTTCCACCAGTACTGCTGCTCTTCTCTCCTTGAGGTCTTCCTTTATCGCTTCTCTGCATAGCTTCGCAAGCTCAGACGTCAGCTGGTAATTGCCTGCGGCTCGTGCGGCTCCACGTTGGAATCAGCTCGAGAGTTTCCAGAGATCAACGCTTCTGCAGACGTGAACATGTCCTACGAGCCATTACCGTCATATCGATTAATGTTTTCGACGTAAAAATTCAACCACGCGCAGCTCGCCAGGCTATAACGCCCTTTGCACTGGTACCGTTGAAACTGTTCAAACCGGTCATCCCCACGCCACGTTGAGGCAGCGGATGGGATTTGTAGGGGATCGCACGCATATCAGTGGAATACTTCGTAATTGGTTGACTTGTCACAACACAGCTTTGCCACATTTAATCGACTGGGTTCCGCTTGCAACGAATCTTTTGCCGCACATTTTACTACTCGGGAGTATGATATGGATGCGTAGATATTCACTGCTATATCTACACTACGCATAAATCGAAACTTATGCCATATTTGGTTTGGCTCAGTAGCACTTATAGTTTGCAACAATGCAATCTGTCGGAGACGGGGTCAGCAGAGCGGGATGACAACTCCCGCTGCATTGCTCTATCACTGGTGAGTGGTAGAGATCGTTTTGGGAAGAAAACAACCAGTGGTGGAAAGGCCACAGATGAGGGCCGCTGATTTCGACCTTCGGCTGACTACGGTTATCAACTGTACTGTTTCTTGAACCGACTCACCTTCTTTGACTTCACCCACTCCTCTATACTATACTATACTATACTTTATTCTTTATCGCACAGACACAAATAGAGTGTTTTTGATCATTTGTGCGAAGATTCTCGAGGAACCGGCAGCGGTGAATAATGTCGTCCATCTTCTAGTCATGTCTCTGGTCCTTGCTCCAGTATAACGAGCGAAGTCGTCCAGCCATCTTGTTCTGGGACGTCCGAGACCTCTTTTTCCTTGTGGTATCCAGTCAGTTGCCACTCGAGCCCAGGAGTCTTGAGGGGACCTTCTTGAGAGACGCGCAGCGTAGGACCATTTTCTTTGTAGTGCCGAAACCACCCAATCTTTCAGCGATGTCCTTCTGCGTAGGATTTTGGATGAGATTTTGTCCGAAAGCCTAGCTCCAAGTATGGCTCTTTCTAAACGTCTTTGTGCTGTTCTGAGGCACATCGCCACTTCCTTTGTCCATACCCATGTTTCGCAACCATATAACACTGTTGGTAGGATACACATATTGATAAGTTTTCGTTTCAAACTCATTTCCACTCGAGGTTGTCGAAGGAACAGTCGGTTCTTGAAGTATGAGGCACGAGCTGCTTGAATACGACTATGGATCACATCCTTAGGATTTCGCGGGAACGTTATCCTTTGACCGAGATAACTGAAATGGTCGACTCGTTCGATTTCATTTTCCTGCACGTATAAGGGACCGTCGATATCTCCTAGATCGGCTTTACTCAATCTCATCCATTTCGTCTTCATAAAATTAATAGTGAGTCCCACTTTCTCCGCAGCATCGGCCAACATTTTTGCCATTATTCCAATATCTTCACAACTATGAGCGAGAAGGACAATATCATCAGCATAAGCTAGGTACGAGAGGGTTTTGTTCCCTAGTTTCAGTCCTTTGCCCTGCCAATCTATCAGATTCAGCGCGTACTGGAGAACTAATGTGAAGAGAACTGGAGACATTGAGTCTCCTTGTCTTACACCCCGCTGCAGATTGAACTCTGCTAGTTTGGTTCGCTATTCTGACGGCAGCGGTACTGTGTGCATACAGCAGTTGTATGGCCATTATCAAGTTCTCCTCACACCAAAATACTCCAACGCTTTCCATATCATTGGAAGTTCCACGCTATCGAAGGCCTTCTTAAAATCGACGAAAACGGCACATAGCTCTATATTGAACTCGTGACATTTCTCGGTAATCATATTAATAGTGTGAATATGATCTATGGTCGAGAAGTGCTTGCGGAAACCAGCCTGCTCCGGTGGTAGAATTGACTTTTCCTCAATTGTGGCTGTCAAACGGTCTGTAAATATTCTTGTCAGCACCTTATACAGCGTCGACAGCAGCGATATTGGCCTGTAATTAGCGATGTTAGATGGGTCTCCAGCTTTGTAGAGTAGAATGGTGTGAGCGAATGCAAAACTTGCAGGCACAACCTTTGTCCTTATCATGTTGTTGAAAAAATGTGTTATGGGTAGGGCGAGTATTTGTGAAAGAGCACGAAGAGAAGGGGGTATTGCAATAGCCAGTCGCACAGGCATCTAACGTGCTTTGCTTCTCTTCATTGCCATTTGCACTTCATTATTGTGGACCTGCAGATTTATTTGGCCTGATGGTGGAGTGGGTGGGCCGAAGGAGGAGTGGTACAGTGCGTTATAAAAATTTCTCACTGCTTTCACTGACTGCGACACGTGATCAGGAAAAGGTTCATCTGATGGGGAGGGGTCGCTAGGAGGGGAGGAGGTGGTTTCTTTCAGGATTGTCAAGGATCTTCTTGCGTGTAAAGCTTGCATGCGCCCACGTCGAAGGCGTCCGGACTTGATGGCTTGACGAAATATTTGAATATGACGTTGTCGCAAATCTTCTTGGATAGATTTTCGGGCTAGCTTGCAAATCTCAGCATACTCCCATTCCCCACCCATTTATCTCGTGACGTACTCTTCCCGTTGTCGTCTCTGGGGAGCACCCGTCCTTTGTATAGACGTGGTGGGAGATATTCATACCTTGTGGACATCTGAGTAGCTGTTGTTATGACGCGAGTAATGGTATCATAATCTTTGATTGTATCGCCAGTCATCATATTTTCATGTAGTAAACATTGAGCGGTTGAACACAATAAGTCGCTGTCGATAACGGGGAATCCTCTTGGTCTTCTTACTGGTTGTGAGATCGGATTCAGACGCATTTTACATCTTAACATGCGGTGATCACTCCCCGTGTTAACACTAGTGAGCACTCCTACATCGACAACGCCCTTCATACTTCTCAACAATACATAATCAATCTCTTTCTTCAGTCCCAAGGCATCATTTCGCCATGTCCACCGATCGTCAAGTCTCTTTTTGAAGAACGAGTTAGCAAGAAATAGCTTTCTTTCCTCACAAAAGTCGGCCAACATTTGTCCACGGTGATTTCGAGCTCCTGAGGAATTGTTACCAATGTATCGCTCTTCATTACGGCGTAAACCAGGAGTTGCGTTGAAATCGCCCAGAATCACTTGGTGCTTACTTCTCCTGGCATCGAGAACATGAGCAAGATTGTCTAAGAACGCCTCGTATTCCACATCTTGAAAATCTGAATGGGGCGCGTGAACTTGTATTATACGGAGAGTGCTCCTATCGGCTAGTTTTATGCAAAGCTCAATCATTCGTTCAGAATGAAAGAAACAATCGCTGTGTTGATTCAACGATGACGGTACATAAAATCCTACACCTCTTTTGGTTCGTTCCTCAGTACCACTATGATATAAAGAGTACCCACTTGAGAGGTCTATTCTTCCTTTGCCAGCCATTCGTGTCTCCGAGACTCCAATGACATCGAACTTGACATTCTCGACCGCGGCTTCGAAGTCGGCAAGTCTTGCCGCGGTGGCAATGGAACGGACATTCATGGTGCAAATGCGAAGCCGGTCCTGTCTTTTTGGCATACGGTCCGCGCTAGCCAACTGCGTGTTGGACCGGACCGTCTCTCCTTTCTTCGGTGGTTGAGTGAGCAAGGAGTGGAGGAGTGGTGAGTGTATTACTGTTGTAATCCTTGTAGTTTATGCAGAACGCGTACGACGAGGATGAAGGAGTTTATTCTGAAGCACGATGAGCAATAACAGAATGAACCATACTCAATGACTGGTCTTATATACGGCCAGTATAGGATGTTGATCAGGGATACCAGTGATCTAGTATCACCCTCACAACACCTCCCTCCTAAGACAAACATTAGATGTGTATGTCTTCTTCTTCGGATTGATTTGCAATCGAACTGGCGGACGTCTTGACCGTTTCTGTCGATCGGTTGGAGCGGGCAGATCGGCATCTTGAATCGGCACATGGTCCTTGTTCGGCACAGTATGGT